AGGAAACGACCATTGCATGTGTCCTGAGGCACTATGCAGATTAGTAGTTGTTGCAGTGGTGGAAAAATAGCAACTACAAAATATATTCTCAGAATGTTCAACTGTAAGCATTATTTCATAATGCTAACTACGAGAAATCCTACCAGGCATTCTTCCCTTCGGTGTGTGGTGACAGAGCAAAGATCTACTCTCAGCGTCTTCTGTTGTAAGGCTGTTTGGGATATGGCCACTCTGAATACATCATTGAATAAAATGGATTCTGTGGCAGGATGGACTTTTGTTCGAAACAGACAGCTGACATCAGTTGAGGAGGGAAGGACAGCAACCCTAAAATAGCTGCAAAGAACAAGATAAAATGGATTTTGTAAGATCTTCAATTATTCTGAATTCACAGTAATTGTTTGAAATTATCTGCAAGAGTGAGAAAAGAATGCAGAATTCATTGTCAACCTAAAGCATTGCTGCCAGACTGGATCCACGTAAAGAAGCTGTTCTTAGCCCACCCTCCCAACTGTGCTGTGCCACTGAGCAGGTAAACACGCTGCTGCCACTTACCACCATCTGAGGCAGGCAGCAAAGGGGCTGCAGTCAAAAGCCTATAATAGGGCAGTGAAGAGGAAGACAGACAGTGGGGCAGAAAACTTGAACTTCCCACCTTCCCCACGCACAGCCATTTTCAAAATAGTTATTTCTGAGCCCAGGAGGATAAGAACAACCTAAGGAGATACTCGTAACTTTATTCCAAAGAATTCTCACCCTAAAGTATTAAATGAGGCATGGTGATGATCCTTTCCCAAGAATAGAATAGATTAACCTACTAGGGAAAAAGAAAGTAGCATACTGTTAAGAAAATTTATAACAGATAAAATTAACAGTTCAAAAATACCACTGTCTACTATCTTGGAAGTCCCACACATGACAAACTGTATGAAAAGAGTCTTATGCTTCATAAACTTTAAAGAAGAGTAACAGAAAAACAATAATGTCTAATTATCTGAGCACATACTATATAAGAATGCAAAATTCTTAGAAACAGTATGAGGTATTCTCCTTCAAATCACAGAAAGAGAACACATGCTAAATCTTCCCCAGTTTTCTTTCTATGTTTGGCTTTCTCCAATTACAAAAACTCTTAAATTCAAATGCAGAATTGAGGACTATCATATTATTTCTATATTTTATATCAACATTAAGTATGGAGACTCAGAATTCAAAACCTAGTGGACCTCAGGCCACTGATGTTGATTTAAGAGACTTCCAAGGGTGCAGCTCACTCTCCCAGGGAGGCTGCAGCTTCAACAGCAGAAAATCCTTTTTTCTTCCTTCACAGAAAGGCAATAAAGGAGAAGTATATTAGAGAGTGTATTAGAGTAAAAGGTTATTAAAAAGACAGGAAAGAAAGCAAAGTCCAAAATGGAGGTCAGAAGAGATTCTGAAATTTGCTCTTGAAAGCAGAGCAGTTAAAGCAAATGAAAGAAATGATGAAGTAAAAGAGCTGAACAGAAGATTTCAAAAGGGAGCTCGAGAAGACAAAGTAAAGCAATACAATGAAGTGTGCAAAGATCTGGAGTTAGAAAACCAAAAGAGAGAACATGCTTGGCATTTTTCAAGCTGAAAGAACTGGAAAAACAACTTGAACCTCAAGTTGCAATATTGAAGGATTCTACAATAATGGACAAAATATTGAATAACACAGGATGCACCAGAAGATAGGAAAAATACAGAGTTACTGTACCAAAAGAACTGGCTGGCATTCAAACATGTACCACATGATGAAGAACCCATGGAATACAGACAGAAGAAGTCCAAACTGCACGGAAGGGATTGGTGAAAAGCAAGGTTCCAATAAATGACTGAGTATTGACTGAGATGTTTCAACAAAGAGATGCAATGCTGGTAGCACTCACATGTCTATAACAGGAAATTTGGCCAACTGACTAGAAGAGATCTATATTTGTGCCCATTCCAAAGAAATGTAATCCAACAGAACGTGGAAATTATTGAGTAAAATTTTGTTGAAGATAATTCAAAAACAGTTACAGCAGTACATCAACAGGGAACTGTCAGAAATTGAAGCTGGATTCAGAAGAGGACATGAAATGAGGGATATCACTGCTCATGTCAGATGGATCTTGGCTAAAAGCAGAGAATACCAGAAAGATGTTTACCTGTGTTTTATTTATTGATTACACAGTCAACTGCATGATCATAACAAATTATGGATGACAGTGTAAATAACAGGTCATTCAGAACACTTAATTGTGCTCATGTGAAACCTGTATATAGACCAAGAAGCAGTTGCTCAAACAGAACAAGGGGATACTGCATGGTACAAAATAAGGAAAAGTTTGTGCCAGGGTTATAGCCTTTCCCCATACTTATTCAATCTATATGCTGAAGAAATAATCTGATAGCTGGATTAGATGAAGAATAATGCAGCATCAGACCTGGAGAAATAAAACAACCTGTGATATTCAGATAACACAACCTTGCCTGCTGACTTGAAGCACTTACTGATGAAGATCAAAGACAGTAGCTTTCAGTATGAATTATATTTCAACATAAAGAAAAAAGAAAGTCCTCACAATTGAGCCAATAAGCAACATCATGATAAACAGAGAAAAGAAGGAAGTTGTCAAGGATTTCATTTTACTAGATCCATAATCAACATCCATGAAAGTTAACAGTCCAGAAATCAAATGTACTGCATGGGGCAAATCTGCTGCAAAAGACCTCTTTTAAAGTGTTTTTTTTTTTTTTTAAAAAGGTGTCATTTTAGGGACTAAGGTACACTTGATCCAGGCCATGGTTATTTCCAGTTGCCTCATATTCACGCAAAAGCTGGACAATGAATTAGGAAAACGGAAAGAATTGATGCCTTTGAATTATGGTGCTGGCAAAGAATAATGAATGTATTATGGACTGCCAGAACAACAGACAAATCTGTCTTGGAGGAAGTACAACGAGAATGCTCCACAGAAGGGAGGATGGTGAGATTTCACCTTACATACTTTGGATATGGCATCAGGAGGGATCACTCCCTGGAAAGGATATCATGCTTGGTAAAGGAAAGGGTTAGTGAAAAAGAGGAGGACAGTCAATGAGATAGACTGACACAGTGACTGCAACAATGGGCTCACGGACAGCAATGATCGTGAGGATGGCACAAAACCACAGAGTGTTAGGTTCTCCTGCATACAGGGTCGCTCTGAGTCAGAACCCACTTAACGGCACCTAAAAACAACAACACATCAGAGAGTTGGAAGAGAAAAAAAGGAATTTCTTATTTTTCCAGCCTTCAGAGTTTGACTGTCACCAGTGGACTAACCACTTACATGATCTTACAATGTTTCCATATTGGAGAAAAAAAAAAAAAGGCAAGATATTAAACAGATAAGAGACAAGGGCTCAGGGCAAAGAAAGTAAGGGGTGTTTTTCTCTCATCCTGCTGTAGCGGGGAAGGTCTCCCTCAGAGCTTCTCCTAAACGAGAATGAGATAAGCCATGAGCTGCTACAGAAACACAGTGGTGACAGCCAACCAGCTGAGGCATACACTCTTTAAAATAATTAATAATCATAATACAAGTTTTGAGAGGGACTATTTTAATTATTTAAAAGAGGTATTAAGGGGGCTATATATATACATATATTTTATTGTGATTTGGGTGAAAATTTACAGAGCAAATTCACTTTCCATACAGCAGTTCACACACACTTTGTCTCATGACATTGACCACAATTCACCACAATGCAACAGCTCCCCTCATACTTCTACCCGATAATTACCTCTTCCCTGTGTCCATCCCTCCTCCATGCACTCCTGCCCCCTGAGCTGTCTCCCTGTGCATAAACAACCCTTCTTTCTCCCATGATTGTTCTCTCCAAGGAGTGTATCTACCTCAGGTAAATGTTTAACTCTTATGCCTGTCTACTGTTTGGCTGGAAGCCACAGGTGTGGGTTCAATTCCAGACCTGAAGGAAAGCTAGGGGCCATAGTCTCAGTGGTTCCACCAGGCTCTATCGGACCAGCAAACCTGGTATAAGGGGGCTATTTTAAGGAATTGAGATGTTTCAACAAATGGATGAAGCACTGGATGTGCTCACTGGTTTATGCCAAGATACTTAGAAGATAGCTAGTTGGCCAACCAACCGGAATAAATTGTATCTGAGCCCATTACAAAGAAATGTGATGAACAGAATGTGGAAATTGTCGAACAATACCATTAACATCACATGTAAATAAAATTTTTCTGAAGATAATTAAAAAATGGTCACAGCAGTATATTGACAGGGGACTTCTAGAGATTCAAGCCAGATTTAGAAGAGGATTTGGAATGACTGTTGCCCTTATGGATGTCAGATTGATCTTGGCTGAAAGCAAAGAAAACAAGAAGGACATTTATCTGTGTTCTACTGACTGTGAAACATATTCAACTGTGTGGATCACAACAAATTATGGATGACATTCTGAAGAATGGGAATTCCAGAACACTTAATTGTGCTCATGCAGAACCTACACATAAACCAAGAGGTAGCTGTGTGAACAGAATGGTTTTAAATCAGGAAAAGTATCCATCAAGCTTTCATCATTTCACCATATCTATTCAATCTTTATGCTGAGCAAATAATCTGAGAAGCTGGACTGAATGAAGAAGAACATGGCATCAGGATTGGAAGTAGACTCATCAACAACCTGTGATAGATATTCAGACGACTCCTTGCTGAAACTAAAGTAGACTTGAAGCACTCACTGATGAAGATCAGAGACTACAGTGTTCAATATGGATGACACCTCAAAATAAAACAAAAATCTTCCCAACTGAACCAATGAGCAACATTACAATAAATGGAGAAAAGACTGAAGTTGTCAGGGATTTCATTTTGCTTGGATCCATGATCAATGCTCACAGAAGCAGCAGTCAAGAAATCAAATGATGTATTGCATTGGGGAAATCTGCCACAAAGACCTCTTCAAAGTGTTAAAGAACAAAGATGCCACTTTGAAGACTAAGGTGTACCTGACCCAAGCCATGGTATTTTCAATAGCCACACACACCTATGAGAGCAGGACAATGAGTAATAAGACCACAGAAGAACTGATGTGTTTGAGTTGTGGTGCTGGCGAAAAATATGAAATGTACCTAGGATTCCTAAAAGAAAGAACAAATCTGTCTTGGAGGAAGTACCACCAAAACGCTCCTTAGAAGCGAGATTAGCTAGACTTTGTCTCTCGTACTTTGGCATTGTTGTCAGAAGGGACTACTCCTTGGAGAAGTGTATCATGCCTGGTAAAGTAGGGGGTCAGCAAAAAAAAGAGGAAGACATTCAATAAGGTGGATTGACACAGTGGCTGTATGATGGGGTCAAGCATGGCAACGATTGTGAGGATGGTTCCGGACCGGGCAGTGTTTCATTCTATTGTACACGGTATCACTAAAGGTCAGAAGTGACTCGAATGCACCTAACAACAACAATTTTAAGGCTCTTTCACACCAGGTTGTCATTTCTACAAGTGTCATTATTTATGTTAAGTTTTTTAAAATGGGTAAAGAAAGTGTTACTGTGATCTCAGGAATGGTGAGACCATTTACACAGGGAGCCAAAAAGAATTATGTGCTTACAGGTTGGACTGAGTACATTTACTGATCCTGACCACACTGGGTAACATCATATGTCGGAAGGTACTTCAGTGACTTCCACTGAAGTAAGTGAGAATGACTGTGATTGATTTGGTGGTAGCAGAGCATTTGAGGAGGTGTGCCCTCACAAGATGAGTCTAACCAAAAAAAAACCAAACTCACTGCCATCGAGTCACATCCAACTCATAGTGACCCCTCCTTGGGTTTCCAAGGCGTTATCACTACGGAAGTAGATTGCCCAACTTTCCTTCTGAGGAGTGGCTGGTGGGTTTGAACCGCCAGCCTTCTAGTTAGAAATGAAATGCTTTAGGCACTATGCCACCAGAGCTCCTATATGAGTCTAAAGAAAGTGTGTATTCTTGGGTCACTCAGTAGGTCTCTGCTGTACTTTTCTCACTGTTCATGGGTTCAATCCCTGGTGGATCTGTCACCTCCCTTTTAATGCCATGGCAATCTTTACTAAAGGGCTGCTTTAGTATCACAACATATTCATGGGTAGGAAGAAGTCACAAATAACATTATTGGGCTAGTCTTCCCTGAATGCTGCTGGCTAATATTTTTAAGCTCATCCTAGGAAGCAGGCTCTCTGGTGGTGCTCTACTCATCCCCATCCCCACCATGCTCTCTCCCTTCACTGGCCTCTCTAGAAGTATGGCTCCTGCCATGCCTTGATGGCACAGGTCTGCCATGCCTACTCCACTAGCTCTGTTTCTCTATAACCTAAATAAATAATGTCCATCTAGCTTTTTAATGCCTAGATCAAGTTTTTTTTGCCTGTGACAATTCTTGGAATATAATGATGTGAGCTTGAAAGACAATCAGAAGCGAAATCATCCATACTGCTTACGTTTACTCTATTAAAAGTCCAACATGGAAAACATCCACCTGATTGGGTATAAACATGGGGATCACAATATCCTTCTTGTTTCCCTTGTTCTGCCATATCCAACATATTATTAAGGCCCAAATTTTAACAGGAAATTTAAATGCAGCAGGGTCAACTTAGAGATCCTAGATTCCAAGTCATGGGTGTTAACCTGAAATTTGGCTTCTCTCTGCCAATTTCCAGCCATGGGACCTTAAGTTAAGTCACTGAAATTCTGACTCCAGAAGGTGCCAGGGTGAAGGGATGTAAATATCTCTATAAATATCTAGAAAGCAAATAGTCCTTAAGTACTGGGCTCTGTAGGATTATGCCATCACTTTGTTGGGATTTTTGGTTTGATAAAGTGAAATAACTTGAAGAAATTACTGATCATAGAGAAGAGAAAAATGCTTGATGACAAAAACATATTCTTACATGTAGCAAGCTAAGATGTTATACTGGCAATGTTGTATTGTTAAATAAAATTTAATCACTACATTCATGTAAAAGGTCAGAAAATTTCTCTCTCACCATACTACTAACAATTGTTGTTGTTGTTGTTACGTGCCGTCAAGTCGGCCTCGACTCACAGCAACCCCTCCTTGGGTTTCCGAGGCAGTATCACTAGGGAAGTAGATTGCCCAACCTTCCTTCCAAGGAGTGGCTGGTGGGTTTGAACCACCAGACTTCTGGTTAGCAGTCAAGTGCCTTAGGTACTACGCTACCAGAGCTCCTTATTAACAATTAAGCATGCTGTAACAAAAATTTTAGCTCTATTTTAAGATCCCAACATTGCATAATGTAGAAGCTCTTGTTAAAAGAGAAGATAAAAGTCTTAGTTCTTCTTCTTAATAATGAATCAATTGAATAAGGACCAAAATCCAATATGCTTTTCTCACATTTTCCTTTTTATCTTTCTCTCTTGTTGATTTAAAAATGATCAGCCCTGCTGTGTCTTTTCTAAATCTTCATTTGGTAAACTGCTGTATTACAATATAAAATTATTTCACATGGAAAATTTTTGCTCAATTTGTCGTTCACTGATTTTACTTACACTTTTAAAGTATGAGGTATCAAGAAGGCATGAAGATTTCGGAGTTGTGCTATAATCACCATGAAACTTGAACTTTTTGCATCGTATCTGTCAAGAGAAATTGAATGACGTAAGGAATGACCAACAGCCCACCATCACAGAGTTCTAGAACTGCCTATGCAGATTCCTTTACCTAAGTCCGATCTGCACCTGGGCAGTCTCCACAATGGCAACGTCCTCTTCACCATACGCCATGTCTTCAATTTCACTAGGCCTAGGGACAGAGAGTAGGAGAACAGTTTATTAACAGGGATATCAATTGCTATGGTTACTATTCAGCACTCTATGATTCTGAAAGAAAATATGAACTAACAGCCTTCCTATACAGTGATACTGATCCTGGTAAAAGAGTACTCTGATCATGACTTTCTTCAGCTTTTTCAGAGGTGTGTGATTCTGAGCCATTAGGGAAAAAATTCTGATGTCTGATGCTTCTGAGCCTTACCACATATGGTATACCACATAGACCTAGAGACAGTCTAGGTTTTCAGAAATACACACAAGAAGTTTCATGTTCCAAATGGGCACTGACCAACCACACCAACATGGCCATTAAAGTAAAGTCTTAAGTTGGAAAGAATGTGAGTCCACCAATCTCTTTATCATTTCCCTGGTCGATGGGATGTTTTCTGATTTATTGAAGATTTTAGGCACATCATTTCCAAAATGGCTAAATCCCTTACCACTACAAAGAGTGGCCTAATGGTGGCAATACGTTCACAGTGTGTGAACTGGGTGCAGCTATGAGGAGATATGGAGCAGACAAAGCACAGCTGCTGAATACTCACTGTTTCATGAAAGCTTCATAGACACCACTGTCTCCAGCCACAGACTCATCTGATACAGCAGCGGACACACAAGCTGTTTTCTCCCCAACCAAGTGTATTGCTCTTCTTCTTGGTAAAGTTTTTTCCATATCTAAGGACGGAGAGTGATATCATCACTTAGGATTTCTTACTAGGAAAAGTTGAGTATAAAATACACACACAGTTTAGTCATGAGAAATCCAAAATAAATGCCACTTGACAATGAAGGCTATTAATGCTAAAATCAATAGATTGGGGCGATTCAAAGTACTGCAACTTATTAAGATTCTTGCAATATCAGCAGTTATAGAATTGAATTTTAAGGATAATTTCAACCACTATTTGAAAAAGAAAATTAACTTTTTCTTTGTCCTAGAACATTACAGGGGAAGGAAGAAATTACACAAATTCCCACTGACCCTTTGCCTCTATCTTTAAAGCATCCATTGCAGCTGTCACACATTTAGGAGCACCTGGGTGTCACAAACCATTAATGCGCTCCGCTGCTAACAAAAAGGTTGTACGTTCAAGTTCACCCAGAAGAGCCTTGAAAGAAAGACCTGCTGATCCACATCTAAAAATCAGCCATTATAACCCTGTGAAGCAGTTTTTTCTTTTTACATGACATTCATGTGTTGCCATGAGCTGGAATTGACCTAATGGCAACTGGTGGCAAACGAAAGATAAAACTGGGAGCAGGAAACCATCTGCCCCCTTCAAGTATTAGAGATATTTCTAAGAGCTTCTATCTACTCATAGCAAGAAAGGTTTTCACCTCTTTTGCTCTGCCCTTCTCTCCACATACCATATTCTATCTTCTGTCCTAGGACTTTAATGGAAATTAAAGAAAAAAAAATATCTTTAACTTATAGGAATTCCTTACTAGCTAATACCAGTTCAAAAAACTTTTGTGCTACTGAATCCTTAGCGCCACCTACCACTTAACTTTTATCTCTAACTCATATTCATACACCAGCATCCTGCAGTGAGCAAGGAGCATTCATTTAAAGCTGTGCTTCATACTGTAATAAGCTGGAAACCTGTGGAGTTCTTTCATCCTCGAGTGAGCGAGCTGGATCAGTGTTGGTACGCATTTTACCCCCCTTCTGAGTCATGACTTTACATCTTGTTAAGATGTTTAAGTTTTAAGGCTTCAGATTACAGGATTGATTGTGGCATTTTCCCTTTTATTTCTGGCAGTGGGAATGCTTTTTCCTTGATGAAGTGCCTTCTCTCCGCCCAAGCCCCTTTACAAGGGGTGAAGGTGATGACATGATTTATTGATTACCCCCAGGAATAACCACAGCAGCCTGAAATTAACTTTGACAATGACAGAGACTGTGGAAGGACTTCTTAGTTATTCCAACTTAGTTTCTGTCATCCAGCAGGGATTGTGCTGGAGAGTAAAATTTATATAAAAAGAACTCGACTTCTGCATAAGACTAGAGCACTGAGGGATATGAACAGTGCCACTAAGTGGTAGCCACTGCTGCCAGGTGAAGGTCAGATACCCCTGGATAGACCAGAATTCAGTCTTTATGATTTTAGTTGTTTTTACCCACGAAATACTATTATCTGCAAAGAAGTCTTTTGGGTGTAGTTTTCCTCAGTGTGGCTCTCTAACAGCAGTTTTCTAATGTGCTCTGGTAGCACAGTGCCTAAGGCATTTGACTACTAACCAGAAGGCTGGCAGTTCAAACCCATCAACCACTCACTCCTTAGAAGAAAGGCTGGGCAATCTAATTCCACAGAGATATGGCCTCAGAAACCTAAGGAGGGGTTGCTATGGGTCGCAAATGACTCAAAGACAGTGAATTTTTTTTTTTTTTTTAATGTATTTATAGAGTTAAAAAGCATTTTGAGAAAGTTTCATAGATACTAGTTTCTAGCCACAGACATATTGGACAGATACATAGTAGCGGACCCAAGTGTCAGCAGCAAGGCAAAAACAAAGCAAAGACACTGGCAGGGCAGGTGTCTTCTACTCCTCAGGATCATCAGGGAGCTGATGTAACTTGAGTTAGTTTCTCACTGATCCCTCTGCCTCTCCAGCACCTGGCCTCACTTACAAGTTCCCCTGAACTGGTTGGTTGGTTGTGGAGGAATGGTCATTAGAGAACACTCCAAATACACAAAGTACAAAAACATCCCAAAATGCTCAATAAAAATATAAAATCTTTCAAGTCCAAAGCATAGAAGAATGGCTCAAGAAATCCTCCACTCTCACTGTCTCTTTCTTCTTTCATAAACTTCAATGGTTTATGGTAAGAACTGTGTTTAGCAGAGTTCACAGTATTCATCGTTATCACTGTAACACAGTAATAATAATAATAATGTATAACCAATTGCTGTCATAGTCGACTTATGGCAATCCCATGTGTTGAAGTAGAAATGAGCTCCACAGAGTTTTCAATGACTGATTTATTGGAAGTAGATCACCAGGCCTATGTTCTGAGGTGCCTCTGGGTAGATCTGAACCTCCAAGTTTTTGGTTAGCAGGTGAGTACTTGAACCACTTGTACATCCCAGGGACTCCAACAGTAATGATAATGACCATTTATTGAATGTCGAGTGCCTGGCACTGTGAGATATTTCATGTGTATTAAGGCATTAATCCTCCCATAACCTCATGAGGTAGAAGCTGTATTATCTTTATTTGGCAGATGATAAACAAGCTTTGAGAGACTGGGAGACATACTCACTAGAACACAAACAGTCAAAGGGCAACACCAAAGTGAGTGCAGGCTGGACTAGCCCAAAAGTGGAGTGTGTGACACCACACATACCCTCCTCCTCAGTGGCCGAGTGAGGCCCCACGTTGATTTGTTGGAGCCTTGAGTAAACACCATCCTGTGCTTATTTTCTTTGTGGTTGGCTTTTTCAACAACACAGTATTGTAACTCTAGCTCCTCTCCAGGAAGGGGCATACACAACACTGATATCCCCATGCTCCCCACTGCTGCTATGAGCCTTCATGGCATACTGTGCTAATCTTCAATATTTCAAACCACAGAAATGAGCAGGATTCATGTATCTCTTTAAACATCTTCATTGGTACAGTATAATACTTAAGAGTCTTAAGGACCATCAACAGAGAATAAATATGCTTCTCCAGACATCAATAAAATAATTCTAAAGAGGACTACAGTCTACCTTGAGAGGAACTCATAGCAACCCACAGAACTAAAAGGGATCCATGGACCAGCACTTGAGCTTTAATTTCACATTTTGTCTCATGCAAGCTCTAGGATAGAGTGATCACCACCCTCACACAACTGTGATCATTTGGCAAAAATGATCTATCAAATATTTCTGCCTAACAAAGGAAATAATTCAAAAAATTAAATACTTCCTCTGTTACTGTATCTTTGAGTATAAACACAGTGGCTTCCTTGAGCTGCAACTAACAATGTGGCCAGAAGATGGCAGAGCAATACTATACATGGGAACCTGCTTTCTCCAAATTAACTTTGGGCAGAGAGAAAAGAATCTGGCACGAAATAAAAATTTTATTTATACAGAATTCCCTGAGCAATCTAAACATTGAACCCTGGTACTAATTAGCTGGTATGCTAATTGCCTTGGTTTTAATCTGTTTTAGGCCAATTTTAAAAGAAAGCCTCTTCTTTGCCTTGCTACTGCAGAACCAGAATCTATTTGGAAGCATGAAGTATGTTCACAAAATACATTCCCAGTATAGCTGCCACACACAGAGGGCTTCTAGATGACAGCGCAGGTACTTAATGATTAAATCTATTAACTAGGGAAGGTGACTTTATAGAGAAGAATGACTAGGTGCATCAATAAAAACTCCTTCTCAAATGAAGCCAAAATGAATAAACAGAAGAAAAGAGGAATCAATCATACCATTTTTTGTATGGTAAAAGCAACCCTTCAGTTATTCTCCTTAAAATAATTAAGGGGGAATACATGAAAGCAAAGGCCTGCACTTACCTGTAGTTCCTTCATATAATGGCTCCCTAGCACATTCGTTAAGGTCCTTCTCCTCTAAAAAAGACCTGGATGCTATTCCTGAATCAGAATCCAGCAATATCTGATTTTCACCAAGGCCAATGTCTGCAAAATGGCTACTCAATTCACAGTCTTCAAAGTCAGCAGTGAACTGGAGGGGGGTGTCATGAGAAGACATGGGGAATGTGCTTTCCAAAACCAGGGGAGAGCCAGGAGGGGACAAAGAGGAAAGAGAAGACCTGGAGGAGAGGGATGTCACAGACTTGGGAACCTCAGTCAGCGGGGGACTGTGGCTGGTAGCTGTGGCTGCCGCTCCACAGGGGTCACTCTGGCCAGGCTGGCTGGGGGACTTTACCACTTCATTTTCATGGATGGTGGTGATGGGTCCAGAAGGAATGTAGCCACCTTTCTCTTGCAGAAGGAAGTCCAGTTTATACTGATAATCCATGTCTATCTGATCACCCTGGCTGTTGTAATAGAGCTCACTAGAGCTGAGGGAGTTGAGTGACCCCCTGCTGGAGGTGTTCAGAGATCCCCGACTAGATGCCAGGGAGCCCAGGCTGCTCCCAGAAGACATGGACAGAGTGCTGGCAGAGAGGCTGGGAAAATAACAACACACACACATTGTAAAACTGTTAAAATATGAAAAATTCAATCTAGGCACAATCTCTTCAGAGTCCCAGAGGGAATCCAGTGATGCGAAAACATAATCAGTAACTAAAGAAAAAGAAACTTGCTATTTATACCACTCTTCTTTAAAATTCTTTCTTCTATTTACGAGGGTTTTTTTTAAAAGGATTATATACTTATTCACATACTTGCACTGATTTCCAGAAGCGATTTTGCAATTTAAAAGTATGAAAGAGGAAGCAAAAAAAAAAAAAGAAGAAGAAGAAGAAATAGGAGTGTTAATGCAATTATTTTGCTCAAAGAATAAAACATTTTCCTTTTTAGAGAGGAAAGAGAAAAAAGGCAAGCTTTTAAAAACAAAGGTTATACAAAAAGCCCGTGGGTCTACTCAGATCTGTCCTCTTTTCTGTGTATGTGTGGAAGAAGTGAACATTTTTCTAATTAACATAAGAAAATCTATGGATAATTATTTCAAGCCAACTCTCTGCCACCCTCCTTTTTTAAAAGGAAGGATGATAGAATATAAGTGTTATTTTCCTAAGTATTTATTGGTAGCTAGAATAGATCTTATTTCTCCTGGATATAATTCAAACATATTCCAAATATGACCATGGGGTTCATGAAAAATATCCATGCAGCTTTGAGTTTGGGCACTCAAACTTTCATTGTATTAGTGATTGTTTCAATCACTTTCAAATAGTTGAAAACAGAGTAACAAGTAATCAAAGATAAACTAAAACACACCTGAAAGCAGTTAAAAGCAAATCCCTCCCCCAAGAACCTTACTGGCTTACCTTTTCAGTTGTGAATGAAAGTAAGTAGTTAATTTAGTAGTTTCTTCAAGTTTCTGTAGCAGCTCTTTTCTTCTCTCTTCCAATTTCAATCTAAGAAAAAACAGAAATGAATTTATTTTTAAATGAATTAAAGGATGAAAATGGAAGGAAAAGATTAAAAAGAGAACAACTGTCATTATACAGACACTGCATATCAAGAAGAGGAAATCCGAATGGACTCTACAGAGAGAAAATGGGACAACCAGCAAGAAATGGCATGGGCAGAACCACAAACAGCCGAGCAAAATGGAGGAGGAGAGTTGTATCAAATCTCCAATGTTACTGGGAATTTAAAAATTTTCCTATTCTAAAGTGTTCTTAACCGCTCTTACGAGTTACAAAAAGGATAATGAGGAGGGAGACAAAAAAAGAAAAGACTAACAAAAACAAGAGAATCCTCCTACAGAGCTGTGATTTGGTTTCACGTTTCTAAAACATTTAATGGCAACAAGGTCATCCTATGCACTGAATTTAGTGAAGATTGTCTGAAAATAATATTTGGTGATGAAAATTCCAGTATATGATTTGATAAGAATTTTTGCAATTAAGAAACAAATCAGTCCATATTGCCACTGTGAGCTAAATGGGCTCAACTGTTTAAGCAAGAAAATGACATACAAGTGATTATCCTTCCTAGGGGTCACTTATGAGTCAAGTCTGACTTGACAGCACACAACATGTGTGGCACATCTTATCACCTGCATCAGATTATCATAAAATTTTAACCATATTCAACTGTTTCATTTTTTATGTAAGTTTTTAAAGTTAGAGTATCATGGGAATTGTGTATGTGAGTAATAAGTTATTTAAAAGTATATCAAGCATCCACAAACTTATGTGACTAAGACCTTGCATGAGGACAATCCATCCCATCTGAAGGTCTTTGGATATCACTGGATTGGTTCAAGGGTAATCCCACCACCACCAGAAGGAAATTTAGAAAAATACCATGATTTCTATTGTCCTGAATTTGCTGCTTACTAGATCTGGGCCAATAAACAACATCATGGTATGGAGAGAAAAGATTGAAGTTGTCAAGTATTTCGTTTTACTTGGATCCATGATCGACACCCATGGAAAAGGTAGTCAAGATAACAAATGACATATTACATTGGGAAAATCTGTTGCAAAAGACCTCTTTAAAGTGTTAAAGAGCAAAGATGTCACTTTAAATACTAAGTGTGCTTGACCCAAGCCATGGTATTTTTAATAGCCTCCTATGCATGTGACAGCTGGACAATGAATAAAGAAGACCACAGAGAAGTGATGCATTTGAGTTGTGGGGTTGGTGAAGAATACGGAATGTTCCACAGACTGTTAGAAGAATGAACAAATCTGTCTTGGAGGACGTACAGCCACAGTGTACCACCTTAGAAGTAAATATGCCCAGACTCTGTTGTACTTTGGTCTGTTGTAAGAAGGGACCAATCTCTAGAGAAGGATATCACCATTAGTAAAGTGGAGGGTCAGTGAAAAAGGAGAAGACCCTCAACAAGACGGACTGACACAGTGGCTGCAGCAATGGGCTCGAGCATGGCAACAACTGTGAGGTTGACACAGGGCTCAGCAGTGTTTTGTTCGCTGTACACAGGGCCACTACGAGTTGGAATCAACTCAATGCCACCTAACAACACATCTATATCCTTAGGCAAGTCTCTTAATAAAGGACCTCACCTTTCTCACCTGTAAAATAGTATTCATAATCTTACCGCGTCTACCTGAAGGAGTCCTAGTACTGGAGTGATTAAGCACTCGCTAACTGAATGATCAGCAATTTGAACCCACCGGTTGATCTATGGGAGAAAGATGTGGGAGTGCACTCTCATGAAGATTAAAACGAAAACCAAGGCAAACACACTACCGTGGAGTCAGATCCGACTCACAGCAACCCCTCTTTGGCTTTCCGAGGCAGTATCACTATGGAACTAGATTGCCCAACCTTCCTTCTGAGGAGTGGCTGGTGTGTTTGAACTGCCAGCCTTCTGGTTAGCAGTCAAATGCCTTAGGCATTACACCACCAGAGCTCTTCTCGTAAAGATTACAGTCTTGGAAATCCTATGGGTCAGTGTGATTCTGTCCTGTAGGGTTGTTATGAGTCAGACTTGATTCAATGGCAACAGCACTGGTGTCTACCTGGGTGGTGCAAATAGCTAACTGTTCAGCTACTAAAAAAACATGGCAGTTTGAACCCACCCATGGACTCCACAGTGGAAAGACCTAGCTATCTGCTTCCAGAAGTTTACAGCCTTGACAGCCCTATGGAGCACAGCACTACTCTGCACACATGGGGTCACCATGAGTTGAGATCAACTCAAGGATTTGTTTTTGGTGTCTACTTGACATAGTTCTTAAAGGGATCAAATGGAGTAATACATGTGAAAGTGCTCTACAGATAATAAAAGTATCACTTGTTTAAAACCTCAGCTTCTACAGCAAGGTGGCGAGATAAAAATCAATTAATTTAGAGAAAAAGAAAAATTCTAAGTTTCAACTTTAAATTGTTATATATGCCTTAGGCAGTAAAGAAACAAACCTGTATTTTATTTCTATATTTTGATGTGTGAAAAACACAATTATATTTTTAAATAAAAATTTTTTTTTTTGCCATTTTATTTATTACAGACAGTCCTTGGATTGTGAACAAGTTCCTAAATCTGCCTTTAAGCTGAATTTGTATGTAAGTTGGAACAGTTAGGTACAGTTCATATCTAACATCAGTTAGTCAAATGTTTGTTTTAGTATATAGTTTATAGTGTACCTTTGGATCCGACTCGAAGGTAGTGAGTTTTGTAGTTTATTTCTATGCATAAAAAACATTAAAGAAACACTTCTAGATACACTAAAATATCTTTAACATAATACAGTAGTAATGATAATATTTTGATGTGTGTTGCAGTTATTGTTATTATGAACCATAGTAGGTACCTTGCATTTTTAATATACTAAGTTTTACTGGGATTTGTTCATAACTATGTTGTCCAAAGTTATTCATTCTTACCCAGAGATTGTCTGCACTTCAAAGGGTGATAAATTATTAATTCACAGCTTTCAAAGGTATTATTACTTTAAAAGAACAGTCCCATTTTTCTGTTGCTTAATTTTTCACATATAAAAAAAACAAGAAAAAGAATTATTATGAACTAGATTAACTGAATTAGAAGGTACATAGATGTCAGGGGGTAAAAAACAAAAATATACTAAAACCCATGGCATCTGAAATAGAAGAAATGCTTTTGAAGTTTTGAAACCAAAAGTATCTTGCAAATAAATGGATGCTTTTTTCCAATGTTGTAAGGAGGTTTCAATTTGACATCAGAATTTAATTGTGCAACTTTTGTTACACACTGACATTTAGAAAACAATGCTTTTCTACTCCCAGGCAGCAATGACACCCTCCTCTAGGAAACTGTTCAGAGGCTTCTCTTCCATGTCTCCATTATGGTTACTCAGAAATACGGATGTTTTTTGCCTCCTTTTTCACATCTTCCCCCATGAAGATCCTAAATTCTAGAAGGTAGACATCAGCTCTTTCACCTTCTTTTACCAAAGCTGTCTAAGAATAATGTACCTTTCCCCAGCATCTCCCTTCATTTTGGCATCTTAGATAAGACTTCGATTAGGAAAAAGATAATGAAGCCACTAGAGAAAGTCATAGACACCCTTCTTATGCAGCACCTCTCACTCACTCTCCTGGGTTTAGCAACTGACTCCTGTCTCTATGTAAACACCAACATCTGTCCCAGCAGGAGCTGGAAGTCTTACTCAGATTCCAGATGTACTCACAGGAAGCAATGTCCCCAATTTCCTCTGGGCCAAAGTCGAGAAAAATTTGCTTGATGTTAGCCCCTTCAATAAGGGACATCCCTGTCTTCCATGCCCTTCTATGCCTGTGTTTCTAGTTTTCCTGAGTGAGGAAGAGTCTTTTTAATCTGGTTCCTAAAAGATACCACCTCACCACCCCAATGCCTTATTCCGTACTCAGGCTGCTCCACACCATCTTTTCAGCTACCCTTTGCAAAGTTTAGGATCTTTAGGGCTCTCTGCTTGGCCCTCACTGCCCCTGAGGGAGCTAATGATTCAGACCATTTTCAGACCACCCCTTTCCACCTAAGGAAAATTTCATGTGATCTATACAAATAGTCCGTCCCTTTTGTTTTTTTTCCTTCCTGTGTCCTTCCCTCCCATGCACTCCCTTCCCCCTGAGCTATCTCCCTGTGCAAACACTGCCCTTCTCTTCTCCTAAGACTGATCACTCCAAGGAGTGTATCTACCTGATGTAAAAGTTCAGCCCATATGCCTGTCTATTTTTTGGCTAGAAGCCACAGGGGTGAGCTCACTTCCAGACCTGAAAGGTAACTAGGGACAATACTCTCAGAAGTCTCATCAGCCTCTATCAGAACAGCAAACCTGGTCTTTTTTTTTATGATTTTGAGTTTTGTTCCACATTGTTCTCCCACTCTACCCAGCATCTCCTGCACCAATCCCCCTCCAAGTGGTTGACAGTGGTGGCTGACAACCAGGCACCATCTAGCTCTTCTTGTCTCATGCTCATACAGGATTATGATCACATGGTCTACTAGTCCCCTGAAGTAATTGTTTCCATGTATCTCTGGTTTTCTTCATTCTTCTTTGCTCTGGATGAGGAGAGACCCATTGCTGCATCTAGATGGGCACTTGGGAGCTTTTAAGACCCCAGTTGCTATACACCAAGGTAGGATGTAGAACGATGTTTTTGTGTAGTATGTTATGCCACTTGAGCTTGATGTCCCCTGCAACCATGGTCCTGAGCCCACATGTCCAATTACTCGCTCCCTCGTCCTTGTCCCTTGTCAGCTCTACTATATACCTGGACATTCTTATAACACATATAAACATGCTTGTAGAAACACTGTCTGCCAACCCTATACATGGTCATGGCATACTCCCCTCCCCCTCGCCCAGCCATAGCTATCAATCAGACTGTCTATCCATCTATCCATTAAAAAAATAAATGACACTCATATCCCCATCCAATTGCTTTAAAAAAATTTTCAGAAGCAGTTTCAAAAATATTCAAGTAATTGTTGTTGTTGTTAGCTGCCATCATGTCAATTCAGACTGTTGGAGACTCCGTGCATGCAGAATGCAACTGTTCCATAGGGTTTTCAAGGCAGAAAGATAAAGATCACCAGGAGCCTCTGGATGGCTTCAAACCGCCAACCTTTCAGCTGCAGTCGAGCACTTAGCCATATGTAAGGTTACAGAAGGCTAGCGGTTCATACCCACCAGTCACTCCTCGGAAGAAAGATTGGGCAATCTATTTCCATAGAGATATCACCTCAGAAACCCAAGGAGGGGTCGATATGAGTTGAATCGACTCAACGGCAGTGAATTAGGGTTTTTTTTTTGTTTGGCAATTACATGGCAAAATTCCTAAAATTTGTGAGAAAATAAGGAACTATATTAATATTATATCAACTATAAAAAAGTAGTTTAAGAAATCTCAGTGACTATATGGGGGGAATATGAAAGACATGTGAAATGTCCTATACCATGAGAAGTTTTTTCATTTGAGAGCAATTTCTCTCTTGACCCAATAAACCTTCACAATGAACATCTCCCTTCCCAATGTGCTCTACTGCCATTAGGCGGCGAGCTTAGACACTGCTATGGGCCCAGTTAGGAACAGAGCTGGGCATGGCATGATCACAGACAGTGGCTGAATATTCACATGACTTTAGCAGTTTCAGAGACTAATGTAATGACTCAGAATCCTGCCTGAGGCCAACTCTCAAATAATGAGAAATCTACAATATAAATGGAAAACAGAGGAAATTTTTGGGAAGTTCAGCAAGTGGTTTCTTTGACAGTTGTGTAGGTACCAAAAAGAAATTGAGAGATTTTGGTGTTGGTGGAGGTACAATCTGTTCTGAGATGAAAGTTAAGTTTTCTATCCTGAATTTTATCTCTAGAATTATCTCCACTTGCCTTACCACTGAGGGAGACAATGCTTGCTGATGTTTCCCTGCCTTCTAAGGCATCCTGTTTCAGTTCAACACTAGCAACCACCAAAGCAGAAATATACATACAGTATGAAGAAACAATAAAGGGAAAAGAGCCTCCAAGAATAGCAGTGAGAAAATTTTATAAGGATCAAGCAAGGAAGTTTAAATCCTTCAACTTCCCTGCAACATACATGGATTTGATTTTGGCCAGGGACATTGGAAAGGAATTAGGATTCATTTTTTTGTGGAATGTTAAATGATTTGACTCTTCTGAATGACTCAGGAAGTCAACATATTACAAATATAAAATATGTACATTTCTGTCCCTGCTAACATTCAGTCATGGAGGGGCAAGGCCATATACAGGTTAGACAAAATATGCACACTGCTTACTGTCCACGACACAACCTCATGATGAGATCTGACTAAATATACAATTACGGATTACATACCTCCCCTTCCCGATGAGTTCAAACCTACTGCTTCTACTGGAAATTTGACAGTTATTTCATGTGTGCAAACAAAAGTATAAAACTCAAATGCTAGGCAGTTAGGAACAAGCTTTATGTTTAAGATTACTTCATTAGCCATTTTTTTTTTAAAGCTCTAGCCCTATTAAAAAAGACAAGCAACACATGATACTACAAAAGCTAATTAAAACAAACACTCACCTATTTTTTCTATAAAAGCTATTTATAGGCCCTTCTCAGAGCCACATGCTGCAAAGCAGAACAGCTGAGATGGACTCAGTAGCACATTAAACATGTATGATTATATAACATTTATTAAGAGCTACAGAGTCCACAAAATATTACTTTTTTTTAATGAGTCACCTAAAAGATACTCATTTCATCATACTCACAGATGAATATCAAACTTTTACGCTATCGACTAAAGATACCCAAACACAGACACTCACAACATAAATGGTAATTCAGGAAAAATCTAATTTAATCATTTAATTCAGAAAAAAACTATTTAATTCTGCCTTGGCTTGTCATCTTTACTTTGTATCCCATTTTGCCTCTCTCAGATGGATTATCACCTGGCCAGCTTTCTCACTCCTGCCATCAGGATGATCTTTCAGTTGGCACCAACAGACAAAGATGTTAGTGCAAGTGGGAAAGAAAAAAAGGAGAAATGAGGGAGATGATGACAATTATTTGAGAGTAAAATAATGTAATCTGCAGAGACCTTTCCTGGGGGTATTTCTTCATGCTCCTAAAGCTCTAGTGCTATAGCTAAACATTTTCTTGATTAATGTGTTAACTCACAAAAGCCAACTTCACCAAATGGTTAAACTAAATGGGCAAGTTCCACATGCTTAATACCTAATCAAGAATGTAAGGGTTTTTTTTTTTTTTTTTTTTTTTAACTGACCTCCCCTACTTTTCAAATGTTGTGATATTATGTAACAACCATAGACATTTATAGAAGACAAAAAATTAAAAGGTAAAATGCCAAGAATTATTTAAAAAAAAAAAAGGCAACTGGATTATGGCTGTGTGTTTAAAATTTACCTCCATTCCACTTCAAACTGTATTCATGTGAATTTCTCTGCTGTCATTCTGGAAAGATGCTCCTCCTTACTTACTAGGCCCCTAAAGGATAGCTAGGCCCCGGTTCTAAAGGGCTACATGGTCTATGGCTAAAACAGGTGTCTGACCCTATCAGTCAGAATAGGACAGAGCTCAGGCACACCCAGAGCTTCCCTTGCTTACTACTCCAGCTTATCTGTTTGCAAAACTGGAGTTTTCAGATTCAATGATCAATTTACAGCCGCCCACAAAAAGATAAGAAACATTGCTTAGAGTATTTTCCTTACATTTACACCTGCTTCAGAAAAAGGGTTTCAACTGACAAACAAAATCCAAGTGAACATTTTGTGACCTGTTAAGATATCCAAGGGAGCAAGCTGTCTTTCCCTTGTGAAATGAAAAGCAATAAACTTTTGCATTTTTGTGAGTAATAAAACCCAGAATAGAAAACTTCGGTTGCTGTAACAGTCTAGATAATCTTTCTTATCAGGGTACAATAGTTTATAGCTATTACTATCAGACTCAGTCAGTTATGCACTGCATTCCTGATTTTATGTCAACATTCCTTAGTTATTTAACATCTGTCACAGGCATTTTCAGGTTCCTGACAAACACAGAAGAACTGATAATGCACAGTATCAAGAGGGTGTGCTTTATTGCTCTACAGAAAGAAAGTCCTTTTGTGCCATTTCTCAGTCCACTAATAACACATGCATTTGAGATTTCCAATGGGAATTTACCAGAGAAGATGGCATCCAGGCATACCTAAGACACACCCACAAGGTCTAGCCTGTCTTGTCCCTCGGGAGGAAAACAAACCTCTCGGCCAGAGCCTGGCTGGGTATGCTCCTCACGGACAGCAGCTCTTCCTCCAGCCGCTGCCTTTCAGCTTCCAGGTGCTCCAATTCATCTTGACTGCGTTTTTGAGGAGTGACAAACTGAAGCTCTTTCAAAAGTTCTTCTTTTTCATGAATCAGCATAAGTTTTTCCTTCTCAATATCCAGCGCCCCAGGCCAGGCCTCACTGTCCAGTTTTGACAGTTCGATTTTTAAGTTAGCCATACTAAATTAAAGAGATAAAAGAGAAATGCACAGACTTAGAACTTCCATGAAAGAGAAAATATAAGTCAGGCAAAGTTATGGGACAAACCGCTGTTCTCACTGTAACTTCCTCTGGGCCTAACTGGTTACATTTAGTTTTTATCTGCTTCATTTCCTCCACCATTAACATGTGAGTAAGCATACCTACCCAACTAACAAAAGGTGACAGTGAAAGTACACAGGAGCTTAAGCAGCAGAGTGCTCTTGGTACCCAGGCAAGTTGGCCTGACACGGGTCCCTGGTGTGAGATGACGTGAGAAGACCCACAGGGCTTCCTTTAAAACACTGAGATTTTATGTCATCATTATAGATCTTGTTCTTCTAGGCAAGGCACTGTCCCCTGGTAAAACAGTAATCCTTCAGAGTAGGTTGGGAATTAGCCAGTCATGGAAGGAAAAGGGTAGAAAAGAGGGAAGTGGCTTGGCCAGCCAGTATGAAAGCAAAGTCAATCTATCAAGGTTCTACCATTGCCAGAGAAAAGGGGGCAGTGGCCGAGCACTTGTGCGGGCACTTGATACACTACACCTGTCCCTCACTTACTGACTATTTTCTTATCCAATATTCTGCATTTACGACAATAATAAAAACCGTACTATCCAACTATTCTATTCATTAATAATGTATGTCCAGCAGTAACAAACACCAGGGTGTGAAGTAAGAGTAATGCAGGCTGTTAGAGTTAAGGCTACGTGTAAACTTGGCTGGGCCATGATTCTCAGTGGTTTGGAAGTTATGTAATGACGCAGTCATCCTCCATTTTGTGATCTGATGTGATCACCCCTCCATTTCTATATAATGCCAATTTTCACATAGCAATTTGGTCTTTGGAACCTAACTATATCATTAAGTGAGGAATGGGTATACTACACTCAACTGATTGTCATCTACATACAGTGACTTGGTGATACATGACGGACCAGTACACAGTGGACCTGTACCAGCACAGGCAGATAGCTGAGGTGACAGAACTAGAGTGACAATAGGTGCTGAAGGGCGGGAGACTGGGATGAAAGGAGGAAGAAAAGCAACAAAGGCAAACTCTTCTGGTCTCACGATTTTGCTTAATCCCAGATTTCACTATGTCTAGAACATCATAGGAGTCCTGGTGGTACAGTGGTGAAGTGCTCTGCTGCTAACCCAAAGTTGTCAGCTTGAATCCATTAGCTGCTTCATGGGACAAAGATCTGGCTATCTGCTTCTATAAAAACTACAGCCCTGGAAACACTATGGGGTAGTTTGATTCTATCCTAAAGGGTCACTATGAGTTATAATGGACTTGACAGCAACAGGTTTGGTTTGGGTTTGGTTTAGAACATCGTACTAAATGATAAAGTTAATGTGACTTCCAATTCAATATGAATTTCTTGACCACTTGTATCAATTAATTTCCTCTGCGTCACTGTGAAGACAATCACAATTTTTCACCAGGTTAAAAAAAGCTATTTTGACAATAAGCATAAGATCAAGGTAAAAGTATGAAAAGAACTTTTCATACTGGCATAAGACCTCCATGTTCCCATAAAAAAAATGTTGGATAATTACACTGGATACGTTACAGCACATACTCAAATATGAAAAACACACAGGAAATGGGGATTTATTATTTCCTTTTTTATGGAAGGAACTACAGAAATAAAGAAAAAAGGTGAATAAAAAAACACAGTTAGGAATAAAGATGATAACAATTCTACATTCTTGTGCTGTAAGTTTTATGTTTTAGTTAAAAATAAAAGTGCCATCTTAAATTGGCACTGCATTATAAAGTACTTCTGATTTCACCCAACGTCTGCACTTATGATAGATGTAACATCAGCTATTCTTCAGCTTTAACCACAAAACCATAAACAACTGTCTCAACGTACTAGAAAATTAATCATCAAAATGCTAAATAAGCATGATATTATTAGCTTCATTAAGCACATAAAACAAAGGCTGAAAGGAGAAAACAAGTTTCAGAGAAACAAAACCCGCCTCTTTACTTATTCAGAATTGAAAAGGAAAAACCATTTCTAACATATGCATAAACCCTTCAGATTTATCATCTCTTAGCATCACTATTCACTTTAAAACAAAACTCCAAAGAGGAATATGATAGCAATGCAACCAAATTGGAAAGAACCAATGTCTTAAGTGTTTATGTGGTTTAATTAACAAATTGAACTGAGAACAGTTAAGTAATGAAGGAAAGAAAGGGACCGATTATGTCTGTGATCACATATTAGGTAGGTCTTGAATTTTATTTTAATTTTATGGAGCTTTGGTGGTATAGTGCCTAAGGCATTTGACTGTTAACCCACCAGCCACTCCAAGGAAGGAAGACTGGGCAATCTACGTCTGTGAAGATTTACCACCTTAGAATCCCAAAGGGGGTTCCCATAAGTCAGAATCTACTTGATGGCAGTGAGTTTGGTTTGATTGGAATTTTATTTTGGAAATAGTAGTCAAACCTAGGCCACAGAATATAAAGAAAATTTCTAGGAGCACCTAGGAAAAGAAACACTACAGAAGCTCCAGATGCAACTAACTGTTGCTGGTTAAAGTAAAGCAAAAGCTCAAGCTAATCCAAGGGAAATAGTGTCAAGCCCTCAAGAACTCAGGGGTATATAGCCTGGTTCTGAGTTACGGCCATTCTCCTTCAGAAAAAGAGACAAATTCTGGGCTGTGTTCATATTAGAACCCAGGAGACTTGGCTACTCAAGGGTGTAGTGTCCTTAACATGAGAGCCACTAACACCATCTACCCCTAAGATTCCACATCGTTGTTGTTGTTGTTATTTGCGGTCGAGTCAGCCCCGACTCATCAGCAGGGCACAAAGCAACTCCCAACACTTACTGCCAGACAAATCCGTGGGGGCACTGAGGAAGAGACAATATAGTATACAAAAATCTTCCTAACCTTAAGAAATTTATAATTTACCTGGAAAAATTTAAAGCCATTAAAATTAGCCAAGTAAATTGTTGTTCAGAAAGACTAAATGACTTGCTCAAGGTCACATGGCTAATAATAAGTGGAAGAAAGCTTGAGTTTCTCTCAGTAAATTAAAGAACTAAGTAACATTAGTAACACCTGTTACATAGAGGCAACTATTGTAGTTAGGCAGACTAAATTATTACTTTGTTCAGTCAGATAACCTTTAAACCCTCCTCCCCAAAAGCCATACAAACTGGAACAGCAGAAAACAGGGGACCCCTTGAGACTATTGTCCTGAGACACTCTTTAAACCTTAGAACGAAGTCTACCACTGAGATCACCTTTTAGCGAGAAACAGCAGAGTGGCACACAAAAGAAAGATATTACCCAAAAGATTGCTGCCCTGATTGAAAACCATCAGTATGAAACCAAAAAGTCAACAATTTCTCAAAAACAAAGATGAAGAGATAAGATGTCAGGGGAACTAAAGCACTAGAAAGAGAACAAACACAACACAATTAAAGAGAATGCTGACAAATTGTGATAAATGTAATTAATGTCACTGAACAATTTTTGTAGAAAATTGTCGAACATGAACCTAACTTGCTTTGTAATCTTTCACCAAAAACTCAACAAAAGATTATTTTTTAAAAATTAAGACAATTATTTTTAAATTAGTATCTTCATTAACAACGGATATACTTCAATAGTCAAGGTCTGTAATTTTTCTAGTAAAATTGCCTTCCCTATGGTAGAAAACAATGATACTCTAGTAGGTTCTATGAGCTTTTCATGCTTAGGAAAAGGAACATGATAAATTTCTCTGTCTCCTGCACAGTAACAATGCAATTTTCATAATGTCTTCCTAAATAATAAATCAATAGCACGTTTAAGCTTTTCAAAATAAAATAATGAAATCAAATGTATCAGTATGACCCTATTCCTCAAAATAAACAAGGTGTTCTGTATTAGAAAACTATTTGAGGCTACCCTGTAGATAAGGGGGGAGCTCTGGTGGCATAGTGCCTAAGGCATTTGACTGCTAACCAAAAGGTTAACAGTTCAAACCCACCAGACACTCTGCAGAAGTAAGACTGGGTAATTTATTTCTGCAAAGATTTACCACCTCGGAGACCCAAAGGGGGTCGCTATGAGTGAGAATCAATTACATAGCAGTGAGTTTTTTTTTTTTTTTTGTTAGTAGATAAGGGGAGTGAACTCTCTTATGCCTCACCCTAACAGAGTCACAGGTAAGAAAAAGAAAGCACAGGGGTTAATAAGAATTTATAAAGTAAAGGAGAAAAATCAGAATCTTTCCTCCTTCCTTAAGAAATAAGTAAATTGAAATACACCTCAGCACCTTCTAGGCCATTAGCAATTAGTCTTCACTTTAAAGCAAAAGAACACACTAAAAGATGTTTACCTTAGAACTCAATAGCTACTAAGTCCTCTGACTGAGCCACTGTATCAAGTTTCTAGCTGAGAAAGTAATCTTCTCACTTTTAATTGTGAGTATTTTACAAGCTCCAAGCCTCTTTTTTCCAGAAGACAAAGGGATCATTTCATTCCTACACAACTTTCACACAACTTCTCATAGTTCTCTCTATTCTTTAGCTTTGGTGGAGAGGAAGAGAGAGAAAAGAAAGGGGACTCCACAGGCCTTACTTTCTGAAAAACTGAAGGGTAACCCTGGTAAGAACGCTAAGCCAACCTCACATGGGAGTGCCCAGCAGATGTCACTCTAAGAGTAAAGATCAGCTCTGGAAAAGAAAACACAGGCCCACCGACCATTGAACTAAACAGCTCCCCTGTCATTACCTTCTTTTGGCTTCTTCATACTGTAGGCTTAGCCTGACCTTTTCAGCTAAATTTGATCTACTTCTCACTCCAATCTAGTAAAAAACAAAAGGAAAAAAGTCAATTAACTCTGCTAATGAATAAAATAAACTGCTTTTGTTTCTAGGAAGTACAAGAAATTGAAAAGCTAAAGAAGATAGTACTAAAATTGGGAACACCAGTTTAAAAAGGCACTAACTTCATAGTCTCAGTAGGAGCAAACATTCCTTTTTAATTCAAGCTTGTCTGTTTCCTCAAAGACTAAGTCTTTAACACCATTTTTTCCACACATTAAATTCAAGATAATAAAAATATCAGGTAAATGTTTCTGGTATCTAAGACTTTATGAAGGGTGTGCAGGTCAATAAAATTTATGAACTGGAACTAATTTCTTTGTCACTATGAGTCAAAATTTCCATCATTTAGCCTTCAATGGTATAAAATATAAACTAAGTAACTTCAAGGATTAATTTTTCAAACAGGTAAGCTCTACTGTTGCTCTCTACCTGACTTTTACTTTCAAAGCCCATACTTCAAAGAAGCCTAAGAGAAATACAAAAATAATTGGAAATTTATTAAGAAGTAAGTACTTGCTAATGACTTCTCAAAAGGGAGAATACAAAACTGTGATAATATCTAAGGCACCGTAAATATTTTCAAATGTCAGGTATAAATCACAAATTAAATATTTTAATATACTCAACTTCAAATTAAAGAAAACAAGCTTTCTTACTAGTTTTAAAAGGTATGATGTTTATGTTTCCCATTAGCCTTAATGTTTATTTGAAAGGACTCTAAACTTAATGGGAAAAAGTAAGATTTCATGTATCTCTAGCTTTTCAACAGTGTTTCTGAATAAACAGAGTATGAGAAAGTTTGAACAAAGCTATTCATGTGTATAAATCCTGATACACTTGGCACCTAGACAGAAAAGATAAGGCTATGATTCTTAAAACCAATCTTACGTATATCAAACACTGAATGAACACAGCAGAAATCAAAACTACACATCTAGCTCCTGTTCCACTTTGCAATCCATATTGTAATTAAGGCTCGTCCAGGACAGTATGTAGGGTACCCTCCCACATATGTAACTTACATCTCCGGAAATGCTCGTTTGTGACCCAGCATCAAGGGTCTGTCTGGAGAGAGATAAATGAGAGTTCACAGGACTGGATCTCAAGTCTGGCTCAGATCTGCCAATGCTCTGATCCAAATGAAACCGCTCCTGCAGCTTAGCAAGACTCTGTTCAGGAAATAAAAGTATTTCATCAAGCTTACTACTTAAGAGGGCAATTTTTTCTCATCAGTCAAAACGAAACTAATGAAACTAAGTGATCATTTGAATGGAAAAAACAAGTTCACAATTTCACATACACACATGCAATTTCGGAAGTAAGAGATGTTTTATTAAATGGATGATCTTACCTTTCCAAAGAATGCATTTCTCCATGAACAATGGTTTCTTTGTATTTAATACATGTATTTCCTATTTTTAAAACTTTATTAATAAGAAATCTCTATTTTAAGAAGAATTACTGGCATTATGCAATAAACATTATGGAATCATGAAACACCTACCTATATAATCTCAAATTAGATATAGCAAGAAAACTTCCTGCTTAGAAGACTTCTAACAATTACATCATTTTATAGCTGGATAGCATACAAGAGGTAATAACTCAGCCCACATTAATGTCAGAGATGAGGAAACCAAGATCCAGAAACTGAGGTGGTAAGGGGTGGCACTAACTAGTCTGGCACCAAGCCTGTCTGTTTTACCACATGGCAGTGCTTGGTTTGGTAAAGTGAACAGTCAAAAAGCTAGTGTGTCTACAGTCTGCACGTGGGTTTAAGATACTGGGTTCTTATCTAAATTGCTAAAAATAAAGACAAACAAACAAAAATCTGCAATAATACTAGTAAAAAATAGTAAGGTATCCATTAACTGTCATCTTTAAGAAGAACCAGGCTTAAATCCTGATTATTTGAACTTCTTATGATAAGAAATTAAAAATACCAGAGAACTGATACTTGTTTTTGACCTAACTTTCTTGATTTTCTTTCAAAGGGATATTTATGCAAAATGTATACTGAAAAGGATAAAACTAGTTTCTAACAGTATTAAAAATGTTCACATCAAATAACATGTTATAGAAAAGAACAGAAAACTTTTAGTCACCTTAGGCAAGTCTTTTCTATTTTCTCATCTGTAAAATGAAAAGGCTGGACTAGATTACTATTTTTCAAACCTATCTCTGGTAACAATGCACTAAACCAATATAGTGAGTTGTGACTAGTATGTTTTTGAATGACCTGGAAGAGCCAGATAATAAAATCACAATGATGATTAAGTAGGCATATTCTGTGAAATTTATTTTAATTATATGTGTGTGTGTGTCTGTTGGCTCAGACATTTGTGTGTTACTGGGTTTGGATGCAAAACATTTCTTACTGTGGGTTGTGGTCAAAGAGAATTGAAAGTCACCAAAGATACATAATGTCTCTTTCAGCTCTCTTATCTATCTCTGTATCTACTAATTAATTGTTCTCTATACTTTATTAATTGAAGAGGAATTTACTCTTATAATATAATCTGGCATGTGTATGAATCCAATGATTACATGGAAGAATCAAAGATGACCTAAAACTGCTGAAGGACAAGAGTCCAGTGTTAATTTGTTCAAATTCCATTAAGTTTTTAATTTATTATTATTTTTTTTATTAAGGGCCTACTATGAGCATTTTGGGAATTGCTGATTTAATCTGCAGGACCATTGCAGAACAAAAATATAATAAATACAAATAAAGTCTTGTATGTACTATCTAAACCACATATTCTGGTTTGAGACTGTCTGAATTTGAACCCCACTCCTGCAGCTTTAAGCAAATTATTTCACTGCTCTGTGCTATAATTTCCCCATCTATACACTAAAGACAATAACAGTGTCTACTTTTAGTGTTGCTGTGAGGACTGAGTTATTTATATGTAATACAGAACAGTGCCTAGCACAAAGTCAGTATTTATAAGTAGTTGCTGTTACTGTCTTTTCTATTAGATCCCTTCAAAGTTCTTGAACATTTATCCGTATTCCACTAGCATTTTGAAAACTGACATGAGTAGTCAAACATAGTACTTAAATGTAGAAGTTCTACTGAGAATGCAAACATCATGACTATACCTAACATTTTCTGAAAGACAAGGACTGAAAAGGTAAGGAACTCCATATACGTAAAATACAAAGAATTCTTGAGGTTTGCAATAATTATGGGATGGAGGGGAGGGGTACAGGAGGAAGAAGTATACCTTATTTTTTTAAAAAAAATCTTAACAAAAGGTAAAAGATAAGGAAAGATAAAACATTTTTATCTGCAAAGTATAGATATTCAAAATGCAGAATACTGACCAAAAAATGGCTACTTTATTTCTACTACACACAATGCTGAGACATTTGGAGCTAAGACCCAGGTGGCTGAGAACTGTACATGTATAACCAAGGGATCTACTGCCATTTCCTAAACTGATGCTATAGATGACTCTCAGCTAGGAAAACATTCCTCACTCCCTAGATAGCACCTAACAATCATCTGGGACACAGAAGCCTTTCTAATCCTCTTGTAACCTGAATCCTGCCCTCTAGGCATACCTTCTGCCTACTAATGATAGGTGACATAGTGCTCTGTGCTGAGAATCACTGATTTAGGTCGCTGCATATCTAGATTCCACATGAAATTCGCAGTGAGTTCCAGGATGTACCAATGGGCTCCTGGAGTCACCACCCAAATCCTGCAGTATCAGAACCTTGGAACCAACCTGTTATCCAAGGCAGTCAGGTTGGTTTATTTCCTTTGACATCCTTGTGATACAGTCAAATTCTGTGCAAATGGAGAGTGTAACAAAAGGCCATCCAAGCTTTGATGAACTCCTGCCTTGAAGAAGTTTCTGAGGCCCTAGAAGTAGCTTGTCTAAACAAAATGTTCTACAACATACCTGCATCAGATCTTGCTTTTCTTTTTCTCCTGAGCTGATTGCCTTTCTGATAGATTTCAGTTCAGTCAGGATGGCTTTGGCTTCACTAAGTTCATACCCACTCTGGCCTCCAGACATTTTTTTATCAATTCTGTTTAAATAAAAAAAAAAAAAAATCAAAGAATGACAATACAACTTAAAATGGTGACAGAATCAGTTTTTGGATTGTGCTAGCTGCTGATTGGGAGCTCTGGTAGCATAGTGGCTAAGACACTTGCCTGCTAACCAGACGGCTGGCGGTTCAAACCCACCAGCCACTCCTCGGAAGGAAGGTTGGGCAATCCTACTTCTGTAGTGATACTGCCTCGGAAACCCAAGAAGGGGGTCGCTATGAGTCGGGTTTGACTCGACGTCACATAACAACAACAACAACAGCTGCTGATTATTGTACTTTTATCCTCACATACCAGCATCATCCTTTCAAGCTGGTTGTTTCTCCTCCTTTTTCTTCTAATCACTTTTAGCTAAGATTCCCTCAACCCCACAACACACCCAACCCATTTCTAATTACTTTCAGACCAATAGAAACACATGCCCTTTGTCTTCAGTCATTTTGGATGACCCCACTGCTAGCGGAACTCAAACCTCGTTAGCAACTCAAACCTCACCGACAATGATCCTGCCCTCCATCCTGAGGAAAGTAAAGGATAGCAGAAAGACAGAAGTCCCAATAAACTAGTCAGCTACAGGAACTACAAGATTCATCACTGCCATCTAATTTTACATGCTATAATGTTTTGCAGAATCTAGCCCAGTGCATGCAGCATGGTAGACCATTAATAAACGGTTAGAATTACTTTTTACACTAGTGAGTACAGTATTTGGATTGTGTGGTTAGTTTCTTATTTCTCTTTAAACACAGAAAAATGTATTTATTCTATTTTTATGAAAGTTATGAACTGAAATATAATTGCTTGCCTTTCTGCTTCAGTTCAACTTTAGGAATAAGGCAGAAATGCAGATGTGCTCATATGTCAACTAACATTGGTGAAGAGCTTTTCAATGAGCTAATGTATGACCCTCTGCAGATCTGCTTACCCAATGTCCCTACCGTTCACAGCATCACACATTGTCAAAGAATTTCAAGTAATTTAATTCTTTGTGTTCTACAATTGGGTCCAACCATATTATCTAATACTTTAAAAAAATATAGTTAACACTTCCTTTACTAACACTCTCTGCAGCTACCCATGCTGTCCAAGATAAATTATGAATACAACTTGAGTTGCACCCCTGCCCCATCAGTCAACAACTCTATGCAAGTTTTCTGACATTCTTGCTTATGCACTGACTCTAGAGAGAAATGGTACCCATTAAATCAGAGAAAGCTGGGTCTGAGCTCACTTGGTTTAAAACAAATTAATGATTTATATTTATTTCTGATATGAAGGGTGTGATTAGGGGGTGGGGGTGGGGAGCCATGTCAGTCACTCTTACAAAGAAGTTTATTCAAATAAGTGCCGCTCACAAATAACATATTTCCCCAAGTACAATTTTAGTAAATATTTTAAATTTCTAAACAAGCAATGAAAAAGCCTTAAAAAAACCTAAGAAAATAAATTTCATCATAAGCTCATTTGATAAGTCCCTAAACAGAACGGACACTAGAGATCCCCTAGTCATATATCCTCCAAATAAAGAAACTGATGCCTGAAAGTTTATCCAAATTTTATCCCTAAACTGCATAAACATGCACCATATGGCTAGTTGGGTGACTATCCTCAGGATGACAGACTCAGATTTGGGGCTCTTAAAACTATTACATTTAGAATATTTTATAAAAATACTGTAAGTACTCTGAATATTAGTTAATTTTACTTTACTTGGCAGAGGATTAATCAATTGAAATTATTGGCTCCCCTAAGTATTGTATCTATCAATTTAGTTACAGCAAAAGGCTTCTTACCAAAAAAACAAATGCTGGTTCCAAATACAAGGAGACCTGGTGTTGTCAAACATAGCATTTTGGTATTTTCAAATGCAGTACTTTTTACTTTAAAGAAAAGTCTGCAAGATTTCAAGAAATAGCTAGTAATATACAGTATTTCAACCTATCAAAGTGAATTTCTGAAGCACAATTAATTTCTATTTGTATAAATCAAAATGTTCAGAATTTAACAGTAAAACAAAGCTTTAACTCATAAACTTTAACATTTAAAAATAAACACAAGTAAGCTCTTCTCATAAGTAAACTTTAAACTTAAAAAATAAAAGCAAACAAGAAAAATGTAGAACAATACTCAAATTCATGTAAAGACCAGACTTACTGAACTGGTAGATGCTAGAGGAACCCCCAAGAAAGCAGTCTTGGAGGTCACCTTTCAGCCAAGTAATAGATTGGCCTATAAAATAAACAACAGCACTTGCAAAGAATGTGCTCCTTAGATCAATGACATGGGACCAAATGTGCAACATTTGCTCAAAAGCTAAGATGAGAGAGCAAGGAGGGGCAAGGAAACTGGTGGGACAAAAATGGGGAAGGCAGAGTGGGAATGGAGAACGTTCTGACACACTGCAGGAACAGCAACCAATGTCACTGTCACAGAACAATTTGTGTATAAATTGTTGAGTGCGAAATTAATCTGCTGTGTAAAGTTTCACCTAAAACACAATAACATATTAAAAAAAATCATTAAAAATAAAAGCAAAACCAGTTCAATATTGCTAAAGTTAAATTTCAGAGAGCTTTAAAAATAGATGGAATTGTCTTTGATTTCCACTGTGCAAAGGAATGCTAAATATGACCAAGCTGTCTCAAGTCTGCATTTACCACAGAACTCTTTTTGGTCTCGTTTTCCTTTTCTTCTGCCTTCTCTGAACCTCTCTCCTTTACTTTAAAGTCATATTATTCCTTTATCTCTGTTTCTCCTCTACTTCTCATTTCCCACCTTTTCTGTTCACCCTAAGTGACCATAAAATAAGAACATTATTAGCTTACTGACAACAAAGTATTGTGCCTTTTGTTCTTAATCTGAGAAAGATCAATTTGAACATTTATTTTCTTCCTTAAAAAAAAATTGGCTTGTGTATACACTTTAAGTAATTTTTTCTCCTTGTTATCTTAGTCTCTTCTGAAAATGCAAAGATTACCATTAACATACCTTTTCAGGAAAATGTGAATACCCAGAGCCAAACGTTCATAAAATCTGTATACGCTTTTGGTTTAACCAGGTTGTTTCATTACCGGAGTTTTCCAGTTCTGTACACATGAGGTGGCAACATGGAAATATACATGTTCCCAGTATTCATCTATCATAAGTTTCCCTAGTGCTCAGGCCCAAGCCAAATTTGGGTCCACAGGCTGAAATTAATAATTGTAGGGAACAAAATACACACACTTACCTGGCATAAAACTACAGTACATACTATGGAAAATAAAACTTTAAATGTCATTATAATTCCAGATTCAATAAAATATTCTATTTCATTGTGTTAAGTAACAAAGCTGCAAAAGCCTGCAGTGGGATTCTATTTAAATCTTTTTCTGAGATATATTTTCTGTCACAGCCACCAAGTAAAAGTCCCTTTATAGTATTAGGAATGTGGTTTGCTGCAAAGTGTGGTTTCTGGGTTTCATCAATTCTCATAGAGTGTTTTAGTAGTACAGTGGTTCACATCTGAATGAAAACAGCTTTATTTTGTCTATAGTTAAGATTAACAATAGACGTCTCTGATGTTAGATATCTTATCTTTCTGCTCTTGGTTCAAGGGATTAGAATCATTCCAAAAGAATGCTTGAATTTCTACAACAAATCTCTATTGTTTTCTTGTGGAATGTTATTGACAGATTCTTAAACATGCCTTAGATTCCTATAAAAATCATTTGCAGGCAAACTGCTTTGAAACAATATAGCATTGTTACATCCATATAACAAAAACAGCAAGTATAGCTAACCTTTAATCCCAGGTAGTAACATGAGTTATAATTTCACGTGCTTCCAAAATGTTTAACATATGGCTAAACAGTCTATGGCACTTCAAAATTAGTTTTTGCTCCCACTTCCACCATAACACCCTCCTTTACGTTGATATGCAATTACTAAGTAACACATTTATGTCATTTAAGGTCTGCCTAGCTTTCAGGGGGGCTCTGCTAAGGTTCTCTGTACATGGATATACCTAAGGACAGGTGGTGATTTCTTAAAACATACCTAGGTGAAGACCAGGAATAGGGATTTTTTAATAAGTCTCTAGATGATTACAGTATGCACTCAAGTTTGAGAACCACTAGGTTGGGTTCATCTGGAAGAGTATCACAGTCATGATTTCATGAATAGGCAAAAAAGAAGACTGGGTCATAAAACCAAATGTTTACAGGGATGGGAAGGGAGGGGAGGGAAGGGAACATTGCAAAAAAACAAAAAAATGCATTGATCCATGTCACTTTAGTTTTGTGTATTTCACTGTACATAAATTATATTTCAATAAAATGTATTTTTTTAAATGTCTAAAACTAACGTCATGTGACTGGTGATCAAACACAGTGCCCAGGTGTCCCAAGATACAACTCATCATCCAAAGAGACAGAACAATCGAACAATTAGCTTATGCTTATCAGTATGCAGCCAAAGACACACAGGATTTTTTAAAGGGGCTTTACTATCTTGGACTGTCCCAAGAAGTCGGAATAGGATTTCACAAGGAACAGGAACAGAATTTGGTACTTTCCACACTGGTGGTTCCTGAGACTAGCTTAGCATTCTTGAGATACTACCAACTAAGATGCCAGGAAGAACACGAAACCTGCTCAAACACAAAATCAATCATGGAAATCCCTATAGAAGCACCAAAACCTGCTCTGTGGAGGTGCTGGCTGCCTTTCAAGGGAGAAAATCCCCGACTCTTTCTGTGGTCATGGGCTGTGAAAACCATTAGCTTCTTCCTTTGCATTAGATACCCTGTAGAGTGAAGATTGTGAGAGTTGCAAAGTCTCAGGTATGCCTGTCATGTGTGGGTAGGCAGGGACTCATGAGCAATGGCATCCAAGGGCTAGGAATGGAGCAGAATTTTCAGATCCTGCTACTCTGTCACTGTATTTTCATTCAACCTGGCCCGATCTAAAGCTATGCTAACAACAGCCCTTCAAACATCAGTGCTAAACCATAAAGAACAGAAGGAATATAGTAATTAGGAGCATATTCTTGTCCTTGCCCCCAAGATCAGTCAGGGTTAGGCTCCAGGCCATCCCTACAGGTAGCGGAAAGGCAGTCAAAGGCCTCTAACCCAAGTGCTCAAAGAAGTTGCAGGTTCATTTAGAGGGCCAAGTAGTAGCCCACCCAGTCTACTCTTTAGGACATAATGTAGACAGAAATTTCTGCCTATCAGCTATGCTCTCTACCACTCTGTTGGCACAACAGTTAAGTGCTTGACTACTAATGGAAAGGTTGGCAGTTCAAATCCATGCAGAGGCATCTTGTAAGATAGGCCTGATGATCTGCTTCCTAAAGGATATGACCTTAAAACCTACGGAACAGTTCTATTCTGCACACTAAGATCTCTACAAATTCAATCGACTTGATGGCAACTAACAACAACAATCATAAGTTGGTAAGTGCCAGGAGACTAAGTTAAACTCTCCCCTTTACTTTCTTTGGATTGTGAATGATTACTAAAAATTTCACACCTTTCCAAAGAATAAAGATTTCCCCAAGTTTTTATTCATTGCTTGATTACATTTTGGTTTTTGGTACAGAGTTTTGGACTTTTTTTCACTTCTTTGAGAAATCTCTTATGTAATCTGTACTTTTATTTTCATTGGTATTAGTTAGAGGGCTTTGAACTATTCTAAAGTTAATTTTCAGTAATTTTATACTCACAGTTGCAATGTTTCAAAACCTTGTTCTTTATACAGCAATTCTTGCTTCATCTGTGAGAGTTCTCTCTTCAGCTTTTTAACCTTTTGTGAGAAATCAATGAAAATGTAAGATAAATACATAACAACAATGTTTTAAAAGATCATTCATTAGCTAAATATTAAATACATAAAAAGAGCATTAGTTTAGGTAGCCTTTACCTCAATGATGTATATTATTACTACCACTTACCTTCATTATCTTATAAGCAACTATCCTATGCAATGGATAACATTATTACCCTCAATTTCCCCATAAATAACAAGGAACTCCAGTGGTGCAGTGCCTAAGACATCTGACTGCTAACCACAAGGTTGGTGGTTCAAACCCACCAAATCCTCCATGGAAGGAAGATGGGACAATCTACTTCCATAAAGATTTACCACCTTGGAAGCCCAATGGGGGTTGCTGTGAGTTGGAATCAACTCGATGGCAGTGATTTTTCTGGTTCCAAGGGCAGAGTCAAAACTTCACACCAAGGTATCTCTAACTCTAACAGCCTACATTCTACAGCCTGCATTCACTGCACTCCAGGTATGATGATGACCCACCTCTTGCCAGGTCAGATGAAACCACTTAGACACTTTGGCATGTGCTATTCTTATAGCCTGGAATGCTATTTTCCCAGATTCAGTGGTTCATTCACTTCACTACACAGCACAAATGTTACCTTCTCAAAGAGTACTTCTTTAACCACCCTATCCATGTCACACCCTGTCATGCATGTTACTCAGTTTTAATTAGTTTACAGCATTTTTCAAGAATTGAAATTATTTGTCTATGTATTTAACTCTCTGAAGCTCACACGAAAGAAGCTGCATTACATGAGCTATTCCTCAAGCTTCCGGAAGAGTATCACGAAAACAGTAGATGACCAAATTATTTATTGACTCTCTACTATGTGTCAGGTACAGGGACTGAAACATGAACAAAACAGACACTCTCATGGATCTTATAGAACAATGGGGGAGCCAGATAGTGAGCAAATAATCATCCAACTGAATAAATATTACCAATTACCAGAGTTATTACAAAGGAAAAGTTAAAGATACTTTGAGATATAAAAGGAAATGAGACCAAATTTAGTCTGAGGGGTTGGATAAAGCCTTTCTAAGGAAATGATGTTTGAGCTGAGAGAAAGGGTTAGTGGGAGTTCCTTTGGCAGAAGGTTTTGAAACGATAGAACTTGTACAAAAGTTCTAAACAGGAAGGGAGAAGGGCAGGGAAGTTAGCAAATCTCTAGAATTTAATGAATGGATTATAGAGAAAACGTGGCATGAGATGGCATTGGAAAGAAAGACCTGGTTACATAATCTTTATGTCATGTTGAAAATTTTTAAATTTTAAACTAATAACAATGAGAACGAAAGTGGGATTTAAGTTATGATTTCAAATGATCACTCTGATGGCGTGGACCAGAGAGTCTTGCACTGTGGCCTGGGATGTGGACAGTTCTGCAGAGAACAGAGAAGAAATATATTTTGGAAGCAAGATCAACAGGACTTGGTGATGGACCGAATGGTGAGGGAAAGGATGCATCAAAGATTACTTCCAGGATTTTGCCTTGACAGCTGGGTGGATGAAGGTGATTTCCTTGCGAGCTAGAACAGATTTTGGGGAAAAGACCAAGAGTTTTCTTTCAGACATGTTATTTTTGAGACGCTATAAAGCTTCAAGGAGCTCTGGTGATGCGGTGGTTAACGAATCCAGCTGCTAACCAAAAAGTCTGTGCTTCAACTCCCACAAGTCACTCCATGGGAGAAAGATGAGACAGTCTGCTTACATAAAGATTTACAAAATCCCTACGGGCCAGTTCTGCTTTATCCTATAGGGTTGCTGTAAGTCAGAACTGACTTGATGGCAATGGGGATGAGGCTTCAAAGGAGACTGTACTGTGTAGACTCCAAGCTCAGAAGCTGTGACTTGATTAGAGGCATGACATTGAGTCATTGACATAATAATGATATTTACATTCATGAAAAAAATACCACCTATACAGAGTGTTTTGAAAAGAGAAGAGTTCAGGAATAAGCCTTGGCCATTTTCATCATTCAGAAGTCTAGGAAGGAAAGAGACAAAATATACTGTGAAGCAGTAGCAAGAAAGACAAAAGAACCACAGTTGCTATTGAATCAAGTCCAACTTATGCCGACCCCATGTGTTTCAGGCTAAAGCTGCACTTCACAGGGTTTTCACCAGGACTTTCTTATGAGGTGCCTCTGGGTGGTTCAAACTGCCAACTTTGTGGTTAGTAGCCAAGAACTTAACCATCAGCACCATCCAGGGACTCCTGTGGCAAGAGAAGTATTAAGGAAAAAAGAGTATCATGGAAGGTAAGAAAAAAGTTAGGAGGACGACTAGGTACTATAAGGAATATAATGACAAGGACAAAAGCTGTGCAATATTCATGCTTGTATGCTATAAGGCACAGTACTCTGTATGAAATAGGTAATAATTTATCTGTTGGGCTTATTTGAATGCTTAGTAGTTTGTGCCCTAAGGAACTTATTAATTTTTTATTAGAGAAAAGGAAATAGAAATAATTACATTGCAAACTCTAATGTGTAAGTACAAAGTTATAAACAAAATGTGATTGGAATGTATGGGAGGAAAGGATTTCCTATGGTTTGGGGAATCAGGGCAAATCTCATGAAGAAGAAGGTAACTGACTAGGATTTTGAAGGTGCTTTAATATTAATAGAGAGAAAGGACCTCATTCATGGGCTATCACAATGACATTTCAGTTTTAGTATTAGAATATTATCATGTCAAAAGAGCCATCAGTAACCAATAGCTCATCCCATGTGAACTTCTATATCTGGCCACATTCTCTAGTTCTTTTTGAGCTGAAAGGACAGTAACAACTTTCATTTAAAAAGTAAAAACAATAAATAAAAATAACTCAAATATTAGTAGTAACTCTAATAGCAGGTGTGAAACCATCTTCACCTTTGAATATATAGGTGATTAAAAAAAAAATGGTGATACTGAGCCCACCTAGAGCAAATGAATTAAAGCAATGAGTAAATCTCGTCGATTTAAAATAGCATTCGACTTACAATTACTTCAATTGTGCAGATAGACCAATTTAAATTCTTTTCTAAAGTTATCATTTAAAAAGTCAATAATTCACTCTGACAAACTCATATTCTCCTGTTTACCTAGTATGAATGAGATTTTATTGTATGTTCGGTGACAATGGTATATTTCATCTACTTTTAAAGTTGGCTATAACCTAATGTTTTTTTATTTTGATTAGTCTTCTTAGTAGAAAGATTCTCAGTTCTCCAAATCAATGTTGCATTATATTTATTTTTTAACTGATAAAGTTCATGGTATACTGACAAATAAAAATACATTATTTCCCATTGTTTTTGGATTTAGAGTACTATCTTAACTAGTAGTTCAACAACCTTTCTTCTGCAAGATCTATTTGACAACAATCATTAACTACCAGTGGATCACTTTTTCTACTCTTCCGTTATCTAAAACTGCTCAGCTGTAGAGGACAAGGTAAAAAATAATGTCCTTAGAGCACAGGGATAGAATTAAGCCGCGATAACTTGCACATTTAGTGTAAGGTAGGCTCTACTAAGAAACTATTGTGATAGCTAACATTTATGATCACTTTATGTGTTTTAGGCATTGTGCTAAGTATAAGTACCCTACCTACTTTCAATCTACACATACAATATTGCACAGATGCAGTTTTAATTTGCCTTTTATAAGGAACCCAAGACATGAGATCCAGCAAGATGGCAGACTAGGCAGAAAGACTGCACAGACCCTCTTCAACAAAGAAAAGGGAAACTAATTAACACAGACACAGAAGATAATCTTGGACACCTGAACCTTGAAGGGAAGGATATAGAAGTGGACTAAACCCCAACTAGCAGAAGAAATTTGCGTGAAAATACCAAAAAACAAGACAGATGGAGCTGCAGTCTGGCAGTGATCCTGAGTGATCCTGATGGCACAGACAGCTTGGAGATTCCCGAGTGGTGGTAGGACCTAAGAATTAACCTAAAAATGACTCTACTAGCCAGGGACTGCGCGGAGGACTGTGCATGGTCGCTGGAGAACAACCAGAGAAAAAGGTGAAGAGAAAGGTGGGCTAAGCTGTGGACTTTTGCCAGTCCAGAGGATGCCGCCATTTTGAAGATCTAAAAGCAGCTTGACTATTTTGGATATTTAAAGGGACAGCAGTCGCAGATTCCTGGGGCTTAAGAACATGTTCTGCTTTCCAGCAACCCCAAGGACACTCGGGACCTGAAAGACTGACAAGGTAGGACATTCCTCTTGTGAATCTTATACCCCACACATGCTTCGTGAATGGAGGTGCAGCCAGCTCTCTCCCACCAACCTTCTGGGCCCACAGGAAGTCCATCACAGTCTGTGTGCTCAGATGGAGCCTGGGTGCGTTGCCCTGTCCTCCACCGAGATTTTTTTTTCTTTTTCTTTTTTTGTTTTTCGCTTTCTTTTTTCGGGTGATTAGTTTGCTTGCATTTGTCTGTTTTAAAACAACTAGTATTATTAATATTTTTGTCCTTTTTATTATTATTCTTAATCTTCCCC